CTTGGTTGACCAGGTCAACCTGGTTGATGAAGTCAACCTGGTTTGACACATTTGGCCCTTTTAAGCCCAAATTAGTTTTAAATGAATTCAAACCCTTCATCAGACCCAAACCCCCTATATTTTGGGTCTAATTGATTGGGTTGATTGAGTCAACCCTTGACTTGGTCAACCAAAGTCTCTCTTAATCAGGTTTGACCTATTTTAGTCAAATTTATTATATTTAATGACTTAAACACTTTCCTTTTACTTTCTAATGCTAATCCCCACCTTTGGGAAGAATAATATCAGATCCTTAATCGAGAGTTTTCTCGGGCCCTAGGCTCAAGATGTAATTAACCACGGGGGCTTGCTTTCATGGAAAACAGAATTTCACCATCAAATAAACCCCACTTGAGCTGATGTATCGGTGGGGGAAACTCATTTTTTTATCAGGTTATATATTACTACCCATCAAGGTGTGTTCGTGAGAGCCGCTATCCTCAATGGTTAGTTGTATGTACGATCTAATCTGTCCTTTCATTGGCCTGTTTGTGAAGAGCGTGGAAGCCTACGATCATCTCTATCTCTTGGGGTGGTGTGGTCATACACCCTTTACACTCGACAGCAGCTGGCGGTGTCCTTTCGGAGGTCTATAATCCTTAAAGGTGATATGTTGATGCACCATAGGGATATTTGTTCTTATGCATGTACCCACCAATTGCCAAATGTGGTCATACACCCTTTACACTCGACAGCAGCTGGCGGTGTTCTTGGTGCTAGTATATAAAACCCTCAATTTGCCTCCCCTCCCTTTCAAGGATTTGTTCCTCACAATTTTTACATGTCACCCCTAAGTGTGATATGAGATATCAAAACTAATAGGTCAAACCCATTTCTGAGATGAGATACTATGTCCATGACCACATATGCTACTCAGGTGTGATGACATTGATCCACTATCCTTATATTAATTTCTTTCACCTATCAATTTTGTTATTATTACGCTCCCCAGTTTTGCTTATCACCCTCTGTTGTCTAGGATATCAAAACCAATAATTCAAATTTATTTTTAAGATGTGATACTGGGTCCACACCAACTCATGTTAGTTGGGAGTGGTAGTGTTGATACACTTTCCACATATAAATTCTATTCATATATTAATTTTATTATGATTATGCTTCCCATCTTTTTTCATATGGCAAATGTGGCATAGGCAATCAAAGCCAAATATTTCACTTCTTTACTAAATCTTGCATAATCTCTCTCTCTCTCTCTCTCTCTCTAATTTTATTCATGTGGCAAACATGGTCTAGGTTATCAAAGCCAACCCTATCTCCATCTCTTTGTGTTCTAATCATTGATTATGAATATATAAAAGAAAAATAAAAAAATATGATAATAAAAAGTAACGCTCAGTTGAGAAAAATCGATTGCCCTTGTCACAGGTGGAACTCAACTTTACTCTCTAAGAGCTCAAATTCTCCCCATTTTTCTTTTGTTATTTTGATATGATGATAAAGTTGCCTAAGGGATTCCACCGGTATTTGGATACTTATTTCCACGATGATTTATCCTCTACACGTGGTAACTAAAAGTTAGCTTGAGACTTTTTAGAAAACTTTTTCCTTGGAATTCTTTCAAATACCTTTACTTTCTCCCTCACATCCATACATAGATCTGTGTTAGGTTAGTGTTGAGATGACTTTCACCTTCTATTTTGTTGTTTTGATATGGTCAGTAGGTGGTTGGTTACTTACTTATTTGGTGGGGTGCCCGACAGAGTCCTTGAAAGGCATACCCCACCGCCCTTGACTCTTTATTCATTGTTTGAAAGGATCAAGTGAGTATTAATCCCTTCTTCATTTATTACGTCGATCTGGTTAGGCCGATATTGAAGCTTACCCGGTTGAGATAGCCCAATAGAGTCGTTAGGAGGCATTCCTCACCACCCTTTTACCTGAATGTCATGTTATGATCAGACAAGCATCAGACCCTGACTCTTTATTCATTATTTTGAAAGGAGAAAGTGAGTATTAAGCCCTTTTTCATTTGTTGTACCAATCTAGTTAGGTAGATATTAAAACTTACCTAGTTGAGAGAGCCTGATAGAGTCCCTAGGGGGAATTCCTCACTACCCTTTTATCTTGATGTCCTGTTATGATCTGGTAGGTATCAGTCCCTGACTCTTTACTCACAATTTCAAAAAAATCAAGTGAGTATTGAAACCTTCTTCATTTACTATACTGATTTAATTAAGTAGATGTTGAAGCTTACCTGATTGAAAGATCCTGATAGAGTCCCTAAGAGGAATTCCTCACCACTTACCCTAAAGACCTGTTGTGATTAGGCAAGCATCAGACGCTGACTCTTTACTCATTATTTCAAAAGGATTAATTGAGTATTGAGTCATTCTTCATTTATACTGTTGAAGCTTACCCAATTGAGAGAGCTCGATATGTTGATATTATCTACCTCATGATTTATTTTAGAGATTTTGATGATAACAAACATATGCTTGGATGCTCTAATTTGTGTGCTAAGTATTTCAGTTGTAATTATGTGCATTGTAATTGCTTAAGGGATTTACATTGCACAACTCATATTCAATTAAATGTTGAGATTAAGATGGACCAAGATGGATAACTTAAAGACTTTTATATTATCATAGGAGTATAATAGTGGCCCATTAATATTTGCTTACATGATTTGATTTATTCATAATCTAAATATTTATTAATTATATATCTTGATATTGAAATCTATAAGATTTCTTTATTAAATAAATTTTATAACCTTCATTTTATTGTTAGTTATTATCGAATATGGAGAGTTATCTAATAAAAAAAAAATTAAAGGTAATAAGCTTATATGATAAAATGTTTATTATTTAAATTGACTTGTTTCGCATCATTATTATATTAATATTCAATATATCCTTAAATATTTACAAAATGTGCATGAGTTTTTTTTTATTAAATATGATATTATTTTGTCCGAAACGTGGTCTAATTTTTATTACATTAGATTGCTTGGATTCTGTAGATAGAAATTGATAGAATATAAGACTCATTTAGATTTCATTTGAATTTATAATTAATTTCCAAACAATATATGATTTAAATATAACCTGCTGCTAGCCATTTTTGCCATATATTGGATGCATATGAAGACTTTTTGACTTTCCCATGTGACTAGCCATTTAAATTTCATATGTATTTAATATAAATAAATTATTAATGAAATATAATATTATTAGTTGGCAGAAAATATATTAGAATAATATTTTTATTCAAATGTGACTTTACTTACCCTTTCTCTTTAAATACCTCTCTTCTTCCTCATGTAAGTGCTGCTAAAAAAAAAATCTACAGCAATTCTTTCATTCTTCCTTTCCTCTTTACATGCTAAATCTTGAGAGGAGAAATTTTGATTTTTATTCAAATGTCCTTTCCTCTAAGGTGCTTTCCACAATGCTCCTTCAAGGAGCCTAAGCATCGCAACACTGCCCTTAGTACCCCCACGCTGAATTAACTTTTGAAATTCTAGAGAGCTTGGTGTCAGGGTGCCGCCAGCCCCAATGCTCAGTGCCCTAGGTTTTTAGATTACAAAAAAAAAAAAATCTAAAAGGAGAAAAGCACACTAGAATATTTTATAGTGGTTCTGTCAATCTTGACCTGCGTCTACTCCTTCGAGTCCTCTGCTCCAAGTATTACACAAAAAAAGTGATTCTCCTTTTGCCTCAACAATAAGACAAGAGAATCCCTTCCACTAAATCTGATGCAAAGGAGTGCCGAAAGCTATGCTACTTAATATTATCTTTTCTAAAATATCATTTCAACAAAATATATTAGCCATAATAAAAATGAGAATATTTTTGAAACCCTTGACCATACTAGGATTTTGAAGATCACAAATATTATTGATTGTACTAGTCATAAGTTTAGCTGTGTAAGATGTTGCTTTTTATACTATAAATAAAGAATAACAGTACTTCATTATAAATAAAGAATAACGAATAACAGTACTTTGCATAAAGGTGACATAAAAGGTGAGGACATGATGTTGCTAAAGAATCGAACATAAAAAGACCATCGAAGATATGTGAATTTGTATTTCCATTTTTAATTTCATGAGTCTTTTTGTAGCTCACGTATATAGCAGGTTGAACAACAAAGCACACATGCATGAGAGCATGTAAAATAAATAACTTAAAAAATTAATTAAAATACTTAATTCTCTAATGAATCACACTGTATGATATAAATGACATTTTGATAAGTTATGATAATGATGTTGCATTAATTAGCAGGTTTAAAATTCAAATTTATATAACTAATCATAATTCATATTAAAATTGTTAAAATTTGACATTTCCAAACATAGGTAAAATTAAACTGTGAACTAATTTTATTAGTTGAACAAGTTTGTATAATAGGAAACAAAGTTTCTTGTATAAATATCTACCTATTTTGAAACTAGAGATTAAAAAGTCGAATCAGAGAAGATTTCTCATTGTATGATTCTAATTGTATAATCCGAACAAACAAAAAATTTGTTTGGACAAGACCATAAAACCCTCTAATTTGAAAACTTTAACTGAAAGATTGTTTGGACAGGACTATTGTGATAAAATTGTTTCTTAAAAATAAAGTTTCAAAACCTTCTGCTAATATTATTTAAAATATTAGAAGGCTCAAATTCAACCTCCCTCTTATGTGCCATCAATAGTTTCAAAAGCTGGTCTTACCACTGAAGCAAGAGCACTTGAAGATGATCCTATTGATAAGTTGAAATATCTTTTTATCACTCATGATATTCAATTGTTAAAAAAGTAGGTATGCTTGATTGCTTGTATGAAGATTATACGTTCAAATTTTAGTTCCCTTATAAAATAATTGTATCGGCTCTGATGGTGGGATTGAATTAATATTCTCTTATTCTAATTTTATATTTTTACTCTTGTTTTCTTGAAGTTTGAGGTGTGATCTGAATGATTACTTTCAATGCAGAACATGAATTATCCATCATGAAATGACGATAAAACCCTAATTAAGATAGAAATATAAACATGAATCTAGCAATGTAGCGCCATTGATGAATGGAAGCAGCACACTGGTAATATTATTTACAGCATTTCTGTACAACAAAAAATACTATAAACTGACGACACGAGAAGCTTCCTGAAGCTTTTGCTGCTTAAAAACACAATAAATGACCATCATATATCCTTGAATGCATATTTGCTTTCAATATGGCTACTTAGGCTGAGATTGTGAAACCACTGTGCCAAAAGATGAAGTTAGCTGAGCTGATTCCTGAGTTTCTTGAACACCCCATGAATCATACACTTCCTTTGGAAATACCTCGGGTAAGGCAGTGGCATTGCAAGGGGTATATGGTCTAGGCATTTTTCTTCTCTTATTATCCTACAAAAAATGGAATAGGAAAGCCTTTTATGATTGGAACTTCGCCAGCTGCATAATGAAAAATGAAAACTGACATAAAATACAAAACCTTTGAAGCATTTGGTCCATAAGCTACCAAAGCTTCCTGAATTGATGAAAAAATTTCATTAGCTTGTTGTGATCCACGAGTGCATTTGATGATACGGACATTTTCTTTTGAGTCAGGAGACTTTATTTGCATGTATAATATCAAGCGTGAAGGAGGTGATTCCATGTAGTCCTTCTTTCCATGGGTCAATTCCATGGTCACTAGATCCTCCCACAACACATCCCACATTACGGAGCAGGGATCCCTAGCTGGATTAAATTTCCTCTGACCCAATATATTCACTGGTTGCTGAAAACAGAAAGAGTTGCGTTGAAGACGTCATTTTGAATACACAGTTATGAAGAAAAAAGAAGGCTTATATGAGGTTTTAAATAGCGTACCTGTAACAACAACACTCTTCTGTGAGTGACTAGAAGAATTTTTCCCTTCGGAAGTACAAAGTGATCTTCATATGCATCTGAAAATGCAAATTTTCCCCTAACTCTAAACAGATCAACCTGGCCAAAGAAGGAACCAGATTCCGCCAGCTGCAGGATAACCTTCAAGCAAGAAAAATAAAATAAAAAAGATGTAGTAATTAGATTCAGAATCAGCCCTTCCTTTTGCATAACAAAATTCAGTCCTAGCATCTAATTTCCTGAACAGGTTTGATGCTCCAAAAGAAAGCAGCAAGAATGAAGACAAATAGCTTGGACCCAAATACTTCGACTCAAAATGATGGGAATCCTGAGTGTCATTTTATCTACATTTTGTTGTAATTACATAATTACTTTAACACATACAGGCCTTGACTCAAACTAGCAGAAACTTAAGATTAGAACAGATCAAGCAATTACAATAATCACCAACACTTTAAACTCTATTAAGTCCCTAAACTTTATAAAAATTCGCAAAAATAACATTTGATAGCTGGAATGTTAACATGGCAAAAGAGGCATTTCACAAAATGAATGAACTGCATCATACTAAGGCTTTGTTTGAGATAATTTTCTTATAACTTTCTATAGCAACTTTTTAGTAGAATGTTTTTTTGAAAGCAACGAAAAATCAATAGTAAAAAGATGTCCCAAACGAAGTATAAATTACATATGACATTTTAAAACTTAGGGCAGCATGAATTTTCCTGAATTTTCTAAGCAAAAAATAGACATCCCTCTAATATGATTCGATGTAATATGAAACAAAGTTCCTAATATATTTCTACGTCACCCTATCATTTTGGACTCTCAATTTGGTAGACAAAATTTGCATGCCAAGAATCAAATACTAACAGCTATATATTCAAGGTTTTTTACCTGTCCAGTTGCTTTATATGCATCATATGGCCTTAGTAAATTATCCCCACCAATTACTCGAGGAAGACGTCTCCGAAGCAGTTGTTCCTCTGATGTAATAGCAGAAGCTATCTTCATTCTTACAGCATTGGCACCTTCAGTAGTTTTTGAAAGAAGATCAAGGACCCCGCTAACAGGTTGGGCAGCAGCACCAATTATTCCTTTGCCGAAACCCTGCACAAAACCCTCAACACCAGAAGATTTGGCTCCTTCAAGAGGCTTTGTTAGTATTCCGGTCACGCCTCTGAAGAGGCCCTTTGCAAGGGCTCCGCCTCCCTCTCTAATCACATCGCCAAAGTCCTCCACCGCTTTGCTATCCTGGAGATATAGCAATATATCATAATAATCATGAACTAAAAAAATGAAAAATACCAATCTTGTTTTATCTACTACTAATATATGTTTTATTGCATAAAAGTTTACTTAATTTTAATTAACTCTTAATTATTTTCATTTCTCCTCTTTCGTTTTCTTCCAGTATCCTAAAAATGTACATAGCCTAGCCTGCTAAGATTGATTCTGCACTGTTGCCCAATATATTAGACAAAAATATAAAGTGCAACAGATGCATTTCAACCTGCTCATATCTAATTCACATAAAAACGAGATTCAAAGCATGAAATGATTCCCGAGATTCTTAAAAGAACTTTAGTCACATGCCATAAAACCATAAGTTAACCTACTTAAAAGCTTTGAATTGCACAATGCGTTTCAAGGAGATTAAGAGTATCTCATGACTTCTTAAAAACAGGCATTCGAAAAGATTAAGTGTGCAGGACAGTTAAACCTAGAATCATGGCAGGGCTGACCTGTGTTGGGGCGGTTTGGGGAGGGTGGGTGAGATTGGCTAAGTTGGTATATGCGAAGCTAAGGAATAAAATGAATCGTTATTACCTGTTTCTGTCGACTTTGAATAAATTTCTTGTCCATGGATAAAGCTGCAACACCTTTGCTCATGTTGCTCAGTGCACTGCTTGCATTGCCAAGGATGTCAACGCCAGAAAGAAGCTGAAATGGATGACTGAGAAGATCCTTTTGAATGTTAGAAATTGCAGTACTTATAAGAGCACTTTGACGCATGCATATCTCTTCACGATATTTTTGTCCAATACGAATCTGAAAATATAAGTTGATATATTTCATAAAAGAAGGAATTAAGATATTTCAAGCTATTGAAATTCAAGGACTATATTTCTGAAAAAAAGCACAAAATTTCTTGATTAAATGACATCAGAAAATAAATTGAGTAGACTGCTATGCGATAATTTGCAATTACTCACATTAGAAACAACACACAAATCCAATAACAAACCTGCATATGCTCAGTATTCCCTAAAGCAGTCATCAAAGATGACCAAAATCCCAGCACACCCCTTGGCCGTTGGGATGGAGACATTGCCATTGACACTTTAAATCGGACCTCAGAGATGTTGAGAAGCCTGTAAATGAAGAATTTTATTGTAGAATGCTCACATATACTGAAAAATGAAGCATTCACATGGAAATTGGATGTCATGCGTATACCCAATTTTTATTATTGGATCAACTGAAACAGCAGTGTCTGTTGATCCGAAAAATCTACCAAACTTCACTTGTTGAAACAACTCATGAAGGCGCCAAATAATTGGTTCATGAATGTATACTAAGAAAGCCGAGTTATCAGGAACCTGCACAAACATAAATTGGCAGTCATGTCTGATGCCTAATGATAAAATGTATAACTAGTTAACTGACAATCCAGCGAATGGAAAGAGGAGAACCATATAATTTATTATTAATTAAAAAAAAAAGAGGAGAACCATCACATCAAAAGCAAAGGATGAAGGTTTGCAAACAAATTTCATAAATTCAAATAAATAGTCAATAATAAATGAGACTAGATTAAGTTGGCCAGAATACTTGAAAGCCCAGGTATGGGTATTCACAAAAATCTAGCGAACTGTTTGTCTGCATAGTCATGGAGAACTTCAGAACATAATCCAGCTGATCTCCAACTTTTTGCGGCCCAAATATAACTGGCATGGGAGTAAAAGGTAATTGATTGTCTACTTGGACCCCATTCATTCGTAACTTCACTCTGCATAAATTAAATCGCACACCAGTAAGAAGGTTTGCCTGTAGTTTTCATAATGAGAAAATATCAAATGTTCCTAGACTATTTGTATGGGGGCATTTTAGTCACGTACTAAAAATGTGCTTAATTTAATCTCAAGACTCCTCAAATTTGATAAAATAAATTTATTTGTTAGATTATTTTAGATTAGTTTTAAAAAGACGAGATTATTTTGAATAATAGTTGAGTAGTCAATAGACCATATTTGATATATTAGATAGTTTAGAATTAAAATGGCCCCTCATAGATAGTCCAAAGATTATTTTTCCTTTTTCCTCATTATAAAATATCCAAATTAAAGCAGAAACTAAAAATCAGAACTTTCTATTCTCATTCTCCAAGCAATCAAACTTGAAAACTCACAGTCGGACTTACCTACTAATTCCAGAACCCAACCCAGATGAATATGAGAAAATAAGATTTTGAACTGATACATAAAGGATCTCCTCAGGCATGTGGTCAATAATCGATAATCCAAACTCAGCAAGCTCACATGTAATGTGAAATTCACTATCCAATTCTGAAGACGACTGCTTATAATCATTCTCCGAAGGTTCAAACACAGGCAACAAAACATTTTCATGGGTAATTATGGGCACATCATTTTCTGGCATCCAATCACTAATTCTGGTGATCTGCAGTTTCCCTTCTTTAAAAATCATAAGACGCAGAGCTCTAGTAGGTTCAATAGATGTTACTATAGTTTGATGATCCTTAACCTCATCAATATTGAACTGCTGAGAATAGATGGGGTCAGCACCATCAACCAAAATTTCCAACAGATGCCGCCTACCAAGATCTTCCCAGAAGAACGGAGCCGCTGAATTAGGTAGAAGATAATGCCAGAAATCATCACTATTGCCCACTTGTCGAAAACGTAGAGGTAGAAAGCGTGAACGATTTTCAATTCTGTTCAAAAGAAAGGTCATGTTTGCTATAACGGAATACCAATAAAAAATTTTGTATGAAAGGTTGGCAACATACTGCGTACCTATAGGGACTATAAAATGAGGAAAGACGAAAAACAACTTCATAGCGGGAGGTCTTCAATCCATTACGAACTTCAACTCTCAAGTAAACCTGACGATCTCCATTATCGTTCTTAATGCATATACACATCATACCGTTGTTTCTTATGCTAAATGGTGAGCTCCAATTGCAGCCATCAAGACTCAACTGAAATTCCCAAATGAATATCATTTACATATCAGTAACAATATAATTTTAAGACTGTAGTTTCCAGACTTAGGCTTCGTTTGGAATGGCTTTTTAATTGCTTTCTAAAACAGTTTTTTAGTACAAAAATTTTCTAAACTAAAAAATTTTGTACTACAAAGCTGCTTCAGAAAACAATAAAAAAGTGGTCCCAAACGAAACCTCAAGATTATCAAATTACATCCTTTCAAGCATTGATAATATTAAAACTAGAAAAATAGCAGATACATCTATTTTTAAGATCATATTTCTGAGAGTGTTTATGACGCATTGATTTACTGAAATATAAGGGAAAATGTGAGATCATAATTCTGCATTCTATCAGACATTTCAGTCCTTTTTAACACAATGCAACGTTAGAGGAGAAATAGTTTAACTCACTTCTCTCTCTCTCTCTCTCTCTCTCTCTCTCTCTCTATGAAACAACTGCAAGCGCATACAAAGAAAAAACATACAAATAAGGAAAAAGAAAATAAATATTAAAAACATATTTTTTTCACCTTCAACAGTTCGCTTCCAGAACTGGATTGACATTTCAAGATCTTCGGAGGATCACTTGGTTGCAATAACTGTACCAACTCAGCATCACATTGGGACAGATACACGATTCGTCCAACTCTATTGATAAATAAAGTATGCGGTAGAAAGCTGATTACCTACGCAAAGTTAAAACATAAACCGTAAATATTGGAAAATGATGCAAGAAAGTCAAGTACTATAAAGATAGAAAGGAAGCTTCTGGACATGTAACCATCAGAAGAAAATAAACAATATTTGTGAAGTTCTTTTTACTAGTAAGCAATGCTCATCTAATGAACACCGTAAAAAGCAAATAAATCACCAAATTGGCATCAATTTTCTTTCATTTCTTAAATTATAGTTTCACTTTACAAGTAGACCTTTCTTGATAATATTAGACGAGGCTTTGAAAATTTAAGAAAATTATGTCCACTTGATTTGATCGGAATGAAAAATTAATATGCAAACGCTTAAATGCAGGTTTTATAAGCTGCAAGAACTATACTACTGCTTAAATATAGGTATACAATGGTTATGGTGAAAAAAAGATGTTAAGAGCAAGAAGACTAACCTTCGTTCTGTCAGAAGACATTCTAAGCTGCGCTGACAGCTTGAAATAGGACCCATCTGAAGAATATGCTTTAACATCAACTTGCTCCTGCATAATAAGATTTCTATGCTTATCAGTCAGAAAAGCTCATATTTGAAGTAAAACTTTAGTGGCATGGATGTCTCCTCACCATCCTTTCAAGATCAGTAAATGAAATTCCAGAGCTATAGCGTTCAGAATTATGAACAGCAACGGAGATACCAACACGTGTTGATAAAAGGCCATCATTGCAAGATGAGAATGATGAAGCTCCGCCTTGACCAATGTAGTCTTGAGTTGACAGCATAACACAATTTGTGTTGAAATCATCTATTACTTCCAGAATACCACTGTTTCCCCTCGAGTTAGAGGGCCTTCTGTCAATGGATTTTGAGCTATGTTTCAAAGTAAACTTTGCAGATTTAACGACTCGAGCTGTTGCAAGAGGTTCAGCATCCAAATTGTCCAACGGGTCAACCTCCTCTATGCGATATGATAATGGTACTGATGAATCATTACAAATCCAATATGGAACAAACAACCTCACCGACTTTGGAGCAGCATCAGTTCCTCCCATATCATACTCAATGCTAACACGAACCCTCCTGAACAGAATGAGTTTTTTGCAAGCAATCGGTATGATGAAAGATATTTCAAGAACAAAACAAATCCAATCTATTTATAACATGAGAAAAAAAAATTTTGAATAGCTCCCAAAAAATCTAAATATTAAGGGAAAATACATAAACTGAATAGCTCACAAAAAAATTGAATAGCTCACAAAAAAAATTGAATAGCTCACAAGATAGATTAGATTGCAGACGAATGTTTCCCTCATTTTGTGAGGACGTTAACATATGATTCTAAGATTCCCGTAAGGGCACAACTTTGTTATTCATTATCCCACCCGATGACAAGAGATAAATTTCAATTAAGGCAATTCATTAGCCGTTCAATATTTAGCATATAGTCGCAACAATTTGATTTTAGAATCAAAGAAATTTATCAACTGCAGCTTAAAACAAATTGTAGAGGGCAATGATGAAAAACCTGATCAAAGAATCTAGCTTCTATTATCTCGGGTTGTCATGAACCTTAATTTATTTAATCAGTGAATGTAATTAACCTATCTTGATCGAACGATCTTTGTCAGCAGATATAGGTTGTGTCGCTTAAGAAAATCTTGTAGACTTGGAGTTAATAATTATCCAGTAGGAGACATTTGACCTTAACAAATAGAGAGCTTTGTGCCTTATTAAGTGAATCTTATAATTCACAAGAGGGTTGGACAAATTGGGGAACACCTGGTATATAGCCTTCATTGTAATAAAATGATGTTATTTACCAACAAAACCACTAGGCCAAAAGGTTTTGGTCATAACCGTTATTTAGAGATGCCATTTGACAACAAAATAACCCAATTCCGATTAGGGGATATCTGCCACATTCTTATTGGTATGAGAACTTTTGAGAGTGATCTAAGCGATACACTTAGAATATATAATAGCTCGTTGTGAGCAAAGGTTAATCCTAAATCTACTACCCGCATCTAATTTCTATGAGGGTCGATGGATTATAGCTTCAAGCTTTAAGACGATAGATTTACACAAATTATGAGGTATGTACAAGAATTTCGATGCAATATATGGATGGATTATCGATTGAACTGCTTATGTTGGTTTCGTCTCCATAAAAACGTAAGAGGAGGAAAGAAATAGGGAAATAAAATCACAACGACATTGAGAGAAGAAACAAGAAAGAGAAAGTGGGAGATGGAAAGGTAAAGTGAGATTGAGAAACTGGTGGACTTGAGCAATTGAGAGAGGGAGAAAGAAAATTGGAAAGGTTTTGTGTTTTCAACAAGGGATGAAGTTCAGCTCGTGTGGCTTGTAGCGATTGAGAGAGTGAAGAAGAGAGACAGATAAGGATAGAGATTTTATTAATCAAAATAATTTTTTACATTTGAAAAGCTATATTTTATTATAAAACCTTTTTTTTTTTAAATTCTAAAAAGTAATAGTAGGACTTGTAAAGCAATTATATAAGAATTATGGTTGAAATAGTTATTTAAGCTTAATGTTACAAGATAAAAAAGGGCTAATACATTTAGTTAGGTATAAATATACACATGCATATTAGAAGTTTATATATATATATATACTAATCTTATCTTCCACAGGAGCTACTCCAACCTTTTCACGTACATGCTCATTTCGTATCATATCTCTAAAAGTAAAGCTACTCATCCACCTGAGCATCCTCATCTCTGCAACACTTAATTTAATATTATGCTTATCATTTAATGGCCAACATTTTGCACCATAAAGCATCGCAGGTCTAACTACCATCTTATAGAATTTTTCCCTTAAGTTTGAGAGGGACTTTTCTATCACACAACAAGCCTGATGCATTCCTCCTCTTCAACCATCCAACTTGAATTCTTCTAAAAATATCCCAATTTATTTCACAATCACTCTAAACAATAGGCCCAATATATCAAAAACTTGTACTCTTATTAATGACTTGATCACCCAAGGTCACAATCCCCCTATTAGATTTATTATTACAATTGTAATCAGTACTTAATGAATCAACAACTTTATATACGAATAAATTAAACTAGAACGAAATGTTATCACAAAAATAACAAGTGTGAGGTAACAAATATACAAAATTTTACTATTTCATATGACATCTTTTGTGTCTCTCACATCATTTTCTAGAACAGTTTCGTAAACTAGTTCACCTAAAGTAACCCGATTCCTTTTCCTCTTGTATACCACCTAAAGCATAAGTTTTCTTCATTTATGCAAGCATACATATAACATATAAAAATAACACAACTTATATAAAACTTTACTTGGAATGAACTCATTCAACCCAAAATCTTGCCTTTTATCCTCTTCTTCCTCTCTACTTGCCTTCCTTTTTATTTCTTTATTAGTTTCTGAATTTCTTATTTTTACCTTACTGATTTTAGCACAAAGACATGAATTTCAGCAACCATTATTACCTACATAAACAAACAACAATGCCCTTACCTTCCCTTAGCTTTTCCTCACTAATTTCTATAATTACCGCTAATTTCAGCAATGTACAACAGCCTCCAACTATGCTGAAATTCAGCAGATTTTAACAAAATAACAGATTTTGTACACAATGATTTCAGCAACAGATACTGATTTAAACAACTACAGCCCTTAACTCAACGGAATTCAACAATATTCAACTGATTTCAGCAACAATAAATTCAACAAATATAGATTCATTAAACTCTACATATCCTCTAATCTGATTCATATGCCTGAATCTAAAAATTTCAACAATTCAGCATTCACAACATCATTACAGCATCTCTAATCTATGCCAAATACCCGAATTCAACAAATAAATTTTACTCACCTAAGCTTAGAAGTAGCTACCGCAGCCTCCAAGCTAGTTTCCACTCTCCCTCCTTTTGGATCACGACCTCCACTCGGCAGCAGGCTGCCGCTTCAAATGCCAGTGAATGTCGTGAATGGGGATAGAAAAGAAATGAATGAATTGCTATAGATTTAATGCTTAAGGAAATCTAATATAATATTATCATTAGTATTTCACTAAAGCTCCACAAACCGCTCTCTATTCTCTCCCACCCGCATGATATCATCAAACCAATGCATGTGAGCTTAAGTGAATTAGCTACAAAAGGTGCATTTAAATATTTTTATTTTAAAAGAAATATTACATAACTGATAACTATAACTGATAATTAACTATTACTAAATTTCAAATTAACAGTTACTGAAATAGCAGTAAGTTAGTTATTTAATAATACAAATATACAATTAAATTAATAATTTTCATATACTTAAATATATGTCAAAATGCTCAAAATTAAAAGTATAATTTAATGAAAATAAATTAATATTTTAGAGGAAGTTTATGCTTACACTTATTTTGAACATTTTGAATATTATAGAACCTCCTTATTCTCTCTAATTTTCTCCATCAAACCTCTCAATAAATGTATAGCTTCCATAATAAACCTACCCGGCATGAATCCAAATTGATTTTGAGAAACATTAGAATCATGCCGCAGCCTATGCTTTATAACTCTCCCATAGTTTTAAAGTATGACATATTAACTTAACTCCTCCATAATATGCACAATCTTGTGCATCATCTTTATTCTTAAAATTAGGAATCAACACACTTATTTTCCACTCATCTGACATCTTTTAAGTCTGCAAAATAATATTAAAAAGTTGAGCGAGTCAAGAAATTCCTTCATCTTTGTGGGCTCTGAAAATTCAGCCCTGGCCTCCGCCTGATTGTTTCTTTTCTTTCGAGGGAGTTTTAACGGAATTAGTTTCGAGGTAAATTTTGAAAGGCAGATGGGTTTGTAGATAAGACACTACCCAGAGATTTTGCCCTCATTTTGTGAGGACTTTATGATCTGAGTTCTAGTTTCCTTATAGGCGCAAGCCCCTATAGTTAATTACCCCTCCCGATCACGAGAGAGAACTTTCGATTAAGGCTAGTCGTTAATCAGATACGTTGTATCCATAGATACATAGTATCAGGCATATAGTAGCAGCATGCGTATTTGTAATGGTTGGAGAATTTAGAATTTTGGAGAATTGGAAGATTTTGAGATTAGATATTTAAAATTCAAAATTACACCATCATGCACTTAAAACGGATGGTGGAGAAATGGATGATAGACCCAATTAAGATCCCATGGTTCCGTCGTCTAGGGCCATTGTGGTCCCTGGTCTACTTAGTCAGATGAGGTAGTCGACCCAACCTGATAGAAGGATACTTGTCGGCAGCCATTGTTTGCTTCGTCCAAGGGTACCTTGTAGACCTGGGGTTAATGCTTGTCTAAGAGAATAAATTTGAATCAACCTTAGCTAACAAAGGGCTTTGTGCCCTATCGATTATGTCTTATTGATTCATATCTCAAGGATTTGATGCTACTAAGGAGTGTATTGGCTCTGACCATAACCGATATTTTGTGGTGCCATTTGGCGGCAAAACCACTCGATTTAGAGGACCCCGGGTCATAACCGTTTATCCTGCAGTTTCATTTGGTGGCAAAACCACCGGTTAGAGGACACATACCACATCCTTATTGGCAAGAAATTATTTGAGAATGGAACCTAGTGATATTTTCGACTATGCATTAGTTCTATATGAGCTAATGTAAATTTTAATTTGTTCACCCTAACAAATTGTTGTGGAAGGTGATGGATTTTACTTTAAGTTATTAGATGGGTTATTTTTTAATTTTAAATATCTGAGAATTGGAATTTCTTGAAATTTTGGATCATAATGGGTATTTGGATGAAATTTGAAATATTTGAAATTAACCCCTCCGGTTGAGGTTTACATTCAACACGGCCATCATCGAGGTTTTTAGGGTTATTTCTATTTAAAGTTTGAACCTTGTCGACCCTATCAACTTGCCGATAGGGGATTGAGTTTCATAGGTTTTATACCTTTATTAGTAAATTCTCTTGATCGTAGGCCTTGAAGGCCTAATATGTATGTATTAAAACAAATGTATCGGTTGCAACAATCGTATATTTATTTGATGGCTCCCCTATCGAATCCTATTGAT